CAACTCCAAATATCCTCATCATCTAAAAGGTGATGTATTTCTTCAAGAATCCATATGAGCATAGATTGTTGTAATAAAGGCAAATCGTTTTGCATAAATAGTAACGAAGGATCAGAGTAGAGCGTGTTGATAATGTGACGTAATAATTTGTCAAATGATGGATTATTATAACATGTTATTATAAGAGGTATTAAGTATGGTGTTAGGAGGTCGGAATGAAGGTAGATGAAATGACTTTGAATTTGATCAATGAGATCTTGAAGGACAAGTTCATCAGATGCGATCATTATATCGAGTAATGTTTTAATGTCCAATCTTTCCAGTTTGATTTTACCGATATACAAATATCTGTGAAAAATAATAATATTGATGAAACAATTCTGATAAATTAACTAAATTAAATATATATTAAAAAATAACTACCTGAGAATGGAAGTAAAAACCTTTGGTGACATATTTGGTTTTTCAAAGAAAAAAATATTACCGCACTTCTTTGCCCATGTGCTTGATAAAGCAGTTCTAAAATATGAACTTCTTTTACTAAGAATAACAGAATGACTTCTGAATCTTTCTACGTTCGGTTCTTCACCGACACAAATTATTACGTCAAAATTACCAGGACCATAATTAAATGGAGCATTATTATCAATTTTAATTAATTTTTCAAATTCGAGGTCATCATGGTTTGTGAAATCGGCGGGACAATATTTAGGAGGATGATTATTTAAAATGATTTTAAAATGTCTTCTAAGATCTTTCAATTGTGTATCATCATAGTCAAAGTCACTTCCTGACGAGTCTTGATCATTGTATTTACTCAACCTTATAGCTTCCAAGCTTTCATCAAATAATCCTGTTATGTCCAACATTTTAAATTTATTGTTCTGTCTTACAGATTACAATAAAAAAAGGGCAAAACAAAAAAAAGAGACTCGAAGATTCGGAAAGGAATAAAAATTTAGAAAATTGTTGAAAATATTCGTTTTTTATATTCATGAGTGAATTTTCTCATTTCTGATCCTATGATCTGCTTGCATATATGCAATAGGGATCTCAAGAGAAAAGCCAAATGTACGGCAAGCGTACAAACATTTAAGGGCCAAGAATTGACTGATTGAATGAGTGAATGATAATGGTAATAGTAATTACACTATGACTAAAACAGATATATTCGAAAAAAATTCCGAAAATCGAAAAAAAGCTATATTTAGCAACTTACTAATGGCTTATTTGGTTTACTCTATAAGAGTATAGATGGTTAGTTAGGAAATTTAGGTTTATCTATATATACGTATTACATCATTTACTATGTCAATCATAAACCTTATTAGTTATTATACAGTTTTATACAGTATTATTGGCAATGGCTGCTCTATTTTTAGTTTTGCTATTTTTGAATTTCCGCGCATATATTAAAATTCTTAACATATTAATATTAATTCGTGACGTAAATAAAATACATGCGCAATAATTGTTATTCTAAAAAGTTAGGCGAAAATACAAAAAAAAAACCACAATATCGATTAATTTTAACTTGTTCCATTATTAAGTGTACCAAAATAACGAAGAGTCGGCTGAAAAAATAAAAAGTGTGATTAGCTTTAAAAGAAATAAGTTGCATATACAGTATTTTTATTTCAGTTGGTTCCAAAAGATTAATCAACGTCATTTATTCATTGGATTCGTTTTAATACAGTAATAATTTAATGAGGTAAAAGATAATATGGGTAAGAATGTCTTGATTAACACGAAGATTTTTGGCGCGGCAACTATTGCACAAATCGGCGCCAATTAAAGTTAATTTAACCTGAAGAAGTAATGTGCGTCCACGTGTAAATGTTAAATACTAAATCGAGAAAAACGTACGTACATACGTACATATTATTCAGTTAACATGTGTAACAAGATTGAGGTGTTTATGCTTTTGCAAAAAACAAGTTCCAGTTCTTACAATTTCTCTTACATACTGATTCAAGTATCCTTTAGAACAACTAATTTACCAATTTACCTTATTTGATTTGAAATATGACCTTATTAATTTTCTATTACAATGACTGTCACCATACAAGATGTGTCTGACGAAGAATATTTTAACTACGTAATTACATTTACTCCAAATAATGAAACTGTTTTAATATTAAACCGCGCCTTTGACGAAATGCGTGCGTCTTTTTTTAAATAAATATGCAGGGTACATGCGCCAAACATTTTATACCAATAATACTAATAATACCAATTTTGTCAATATTGCTGTATTGTCACTTGACTCCCACCTAACATTTGCACAACAGAATTTGTGTCTTGTAAACATAGAAAGATAACCCCTAAATTGCTACGTAGTCCGTTTCGGTGTCACTATTCGTACTGTATGTATCTCTACTTTATCTCCATGCGTAAGTATGTCGCGAATCAAGCCAAATTGCCATTGAATGTTCGATAAAGAATTCTCAACTTTGATAATGTTGACTCACAAAACTTAAGTATAATTGTTTCGGTAGATTCCCTCGTACTTACCTAATCGAGAAAAGTAGATGTTCTTTTTATTTATCTTATTGGTAATATGAACCAATAAACAATTACGGTGTCAATAATATATAGTAATATGCTCTATAACAATGCAATAAATGCATCACACAATTAACCAAAGGAAATAAAAGTGGGTGATGAATGCATGTGCAATGTTGCATGTTCGTATATTCTTGAATTAACGATAAAAAAGGTTATATTTCTGGGTTAATATAAATTATATGTACGTATAGTTTATTGGGGTGTGTCCTATCGGTCAATTTACAAACATAGTCTGATAATAAATGGTGATAGTAAAATATATAATAAATTCAAACCGTAATAACTCTTGAACCAGAGAGCCCACACAAATAAAATTATACTTGTCAGGTTTGTTTTAACATACTCTTTAAAGTAATAACGCTCTTATTTTTGTTTTCTTATAAATTATTCGATATTTTTTATCTTAGCAAGTAAAAACTAAGACCATTTGTTGTGTTACACAACATGCAACAGTAACAGACAAATTTCTAATGTTACGTTTTTGATATTTTTATTAAAATTGCATCAAAAACGAGAACTTTGCATAGAAATCGAGAGTCTTCCGCTACACTCCAGGCAATGAAAATAAAAAAAAAGCGCTATTACTTTAAAGAGCATATTAAAACAACTTGACAAATGTAATTTTAATTACGTGGGTTTTCTGGTTAAAGAGTTATTGCAGTTTGAATTTTATATGTTTTTATAAAAAAAATTTATTATTAGAATTTACTACGTATATGGGGTGTTATCTATTAAAACAGCCCTTTTTTACAATTTTTTGAAAATTGAGTTTTTATTAGATTCATATAAA